ATTGTTGAACATGAACCTCAGTGATGTGTTTGTGGAGATGTCGAATGAAAAATTTCATGTTAAGAATGAAATGTACTTACATCATGCGTAACGATTGATTGATTATTGAATAAAGAGAACAATCATACATATACCCCCGATATAGAAACATGCTGATAGTATTCCCGTTCGAGTTTCTCGATCATTTTAGTGCTTTAGCATCGTCCTGGGAAAGTTGACCACAGTATACATTGGATCGTATTTGTGGAAAATCAATGGTGAATAAGGTTTTCTTTAATATTTGTATATGCAAAAATGACTGATCTAATTGATTCAGATTTGGTCTGTAATTTCCACTACTAGTGGAGACAACACTAATGATGTCCGAATTTGTTTGTTCGAAGGAATTTGACAAGATGGTGAATACTTTGTCGTCTTGAATATCCATTATAAAAGGTTTATCGGTTAATTATCTTTATTATTCATTATATGTTATTAGCTGTCCATGAAGTTAGGATGAATATAAAATTAACTTGTTGTCATTTTAGTTATCTTAGAACATGAGAAAAGAGCGAAGTCAATGAAAATATGTTTTTTTTTGGGGAGTGACTTTCTATGAGAAAATGAAATGTTCTCTTGAAAATTGGATCATAAGATTTCATCCTCACATTCCATTGAGTATTTTTTAAGTTTTCGTTTTCAAGATCATCGTGATTGAGAATAATGGCTTTGGATGCGTACGTCTAGTAAGTAGAAAAATGACAACTCGCAAGTACCTACATAAATGCGAAGTGATCTCAAATTTCAGCAATGAGGTCTGAAATACCGTAAGAACGATAGACGATTTCACGTAGAGAGAATCTTGTTCTGGATTCAAAAACTTATGTTTTATCCCGAAGTATTTTATTACTGCAAAAATTAGAAAGCGCGGCTCCGTTTTATTTATTTATTTTAAATCCTCCGATTATCAATGCAATGCTTTCAGCATTATCATGTAACGATTTCACCAAAGGTACTTATTTCTTATAATGAACAGCTATCTAATTTCATAATAAAAAACTCCTCTAATGATTTCTTAAACTATTATAATTCATTTTTATTTTTACATTGATTCAAAATTACATGTTAATGTGATGTAAACATTATGTATTCAATCCTGTATATCATACAAATTATATTATTATTTTCCTTTCATTCAATTAACAAAAGCATATGAATTTGAATTTCTGTTAAACATTGACATGGTTGATATAGACGAATATGAGAGAAATCATGTTCTAACATAGTTCTATCAAATATATTGCCATTAGTTACACTTATTGCCAATGATTAACCATGTTTTAGACGACAAGATCTTGATGACATTTTGGAAAAATAACCAATAAGATCAAGTCAAGTGTTTTAAGAGAATGAAAACAAGTTCAATTTGCTTTTAATAAAACAGTATCATTTCAATTCAAAATTTGTTCGATAAAGATCAGCACAACATATTTGTAAAAAAAAAAACGAAATTTTCATTTCAAAATATTTTATTATAAATAATTCAAATGAAAATTGAGATATTGGTCCATCTCCCTGTGGTATAATTGCACTTTTTTTTTAATCTTTAAAGAATTCACATTCGAAGTATATAAGATAACTCTACATGTTCATGTAAAATTGTATCTACAAAATAAATAAAGTTATGAAATGGATTTATTGAATTTAATAATAATGAATAATTTATTCGAAAATCCTCTAATATAATCAAATGTAATGATGAAAATTCTCATAGATTAATTTCATTTATTTTTATATGAGAAACTATTTGTTTAATATTTATTAGTAGTAATGAATCGTTGAAAAAAATATTCATCCGCGTTTTTATTAATATAAATTTTAACATATGTCCTTGACATGAAAAAAAATTCCTTCAAACTTGATTTTAAAGTGAAGTTGTTGTTTTTTTTGAACTCAAGTAGATGTTAAGCAAGTATTATCATCCGATATAATGTGTTTATTTTAAAATTTCTTTCACTTGACTGACTCACTCAAGCTTGGAAATGTATGGTGCGAACAACAGAAAGAAAAAGCCTTATCTTTTGTTTGAAATATAAACGCAACAATTGCGAATAAATACAGAAGCCAACCTTGACGTCTTCAAGTAAGGCATTGGACTAGGAAACGAAGATATTTCTACATACTTTATATCATGGAATATGTTTCATTGAATTTCGATTTCATTTAGCTTAAACAAAAAATCTTTTCTTTTTATTTGATGAATCTTAAACTGCTTGTTCTATTCAATGAGTAAGTAATATTAAAACGGTATATAAAAATCACTTTTCTTGTCTATTAATATCATCCAATTTACTTTAGTCATTATAATTTTCTTCGTGGGTTGAAAGCGATTTTGATCAATAATTTATTTGACCTATATTAAGCCAGCAAGGTCACAGCTTCTAGGCGATAAGGTATAGTTATCAAAGCGAGAGTACATGAAACCATATGTTTCTCTCATTACATCTTTGTAAGTTTCAATTATTTTATTCATGTAGAATGTGGTATGCACGAATTTTGTATAAAAATATCGATAGATTTTTCTAGAAGACAAACTTCCAATTCGTATGTAATACAGCGCTCTAACGCCATCTAGTATGACTTATTTTTACTTTTTTTTTCCTCATCACACACTTTGAATTTACAAAGTGAGCAATAAATGATTCACAGTATCTTTTGTTTGACTCAGCCTTGATGAATCGAAATTGCACACAAAATACAAAAAAAAGAAAAAGGCAAAAACTTTCCTTTTCTTTTCTTTTCATTCTCTTATTGTTTTATTTCAACTGATAGTTTCAGATAAGTTCACAATACCTTGACAATTCATTATAGTTTTTATTTTTTATTTACACACAATAAAGACTTACATACAACGATGAAGGTACACACAAAAGAAGAAATGTCCTCTTTTCTTACAGTTACAAAAGACAATCGTTGTGATTAAATATAGATCATTAGTAACTAATCCTTGTATTAATATATTCTTTTTTCGTAACTCCTACACAATTCTGTTTTTTTCCTCGATTTTACATTTCTTTTTTAGAAATGATTCAAACTCATGTAGATCGTATGGCTTCAAAAGAAGAAAACAATTTCTCTTCTCTTGCATTCGAACCACAATCATTTAAACGAATTCATACAATTAATAAATCAAATACTATTCATAATTTAACATTGGATTCCAATACTCATAGTCAATCATCATCATATAATAGTAATAATGACACAGAAGATGACAATATCGATTGGGAACTTGTTACGAAACAGCTTGAAATTGTAAGATTAGCAATTAAAAATAGCACAGAATATAAGTTCTTTTTCTTCTTTCGACAGAAATTACAAACTTCAACAGATATTATTCAATTATCATCGGATGAAAATTATCATACAAATTCAGCATCGATAAAATCAAAGAAATATACATCTCATCCAACAACTAACTATGAATGTGCAGGTATCATTTGAATCACAGAATGAATAACAAACACCTGAAAAAAAAACATACGTACACAGAAAAAGGTGTATATGACGTCACGTGGGAGTATTACTCATCCTCATTTAATGTATGACTTTTAATCGGCCTGATGGATTAGCATAGCTTAAAAAATATCGTAGAACAAATCTCACTTCGTACTTGAAACATCAATATGCAAAAAAAAAGTCTTATGCTTAGGAATCCTTCATAACAATCTCTAGTATTGTTTATCTGTTCGCAAACGCCGATTTATTATTCGAACTCAATATAATAAAAACACTTCAAACAACTGCACGTTTGCCATTATATGTCGAATCGAAAGGTTAAATTCTACTAAAATCAGATTGATAATTAAACAGAGAATCTAACTATTGAAACCTTTGATGAAATAAAAGAAAAACAATGGTTTCAATTTCAGTTTTTTGCTATATTGTTTTACTTGTTTAGTCATTCAACAATCATCAATAACATCAAAAAATGATGACGATATGACTCTTCATTCAGAAGCATCTATGAATAAACAAAGCTTGAAAACAAATGAAAAAAATATTCTAATAGATGAAATCGCAACAAATCGATCAGTAAGTTATTTAGATTTCTTATTAAAATAATAAATTTAAAATCTATGATTATTTCACTTAACTTTAACATAGAGAATTTTTTATTGGTAATTTTTTTTTTCACATTCACAAATAGTATAGAAGAAAGCTCTTGAAGTTAAATAGAAAAAGAAAAAACTTCAAAGGTTTTCTATTTTTTTTTTCTTCTTCTTTCTAACTTAATCGCAATTAATGTTATTCAACATATTTTTCATTCACAAAAAAAGTTAAAGAAAAACATTGTTTTTCAATATAATTCTATTGAAAATTCTTTTTCACTTAACAAAACAATCGATTTATAACATGTCATAAAAACTCCTACAAAAACAATATTGCTTGTTATTTTATTCTTTTTTGTTCTCTTTCAATTCAGACATTGTCAAAGAGTAGTAGTGACCAATCAATTGTATTAAATGAATTATTTAATGAATTAATTGCTTGTCAACAAAAACAAACATTTCTACTGAAACAAATTCAACAAATAATGAAACAATCAAAACAAATATCTTCATCATCATTAACATTTTTTTTACCTTTAAAATCATTAAATAATACTAATAATAGTACAGATATTCCATCATTACAAGATGCATTTCAACAACGAAAATCTTCATTTATTCAACAATCAAAAGAACGTGTTAATCAAATTTATCGTCATAATAATAAGTATCATCATCGTATTATACCAAATATAAAAACAACAAATAATACATATTTAAAACAAAAACGACAGTATGAAAATGATCGTCTATGTGCAATGATAATAAAACATCAAAATCGACAAAATGCAAAAATTTATGGAAATTTAATTAAAAATTCAGTTGTATCATAAACAGAAAGAAGTCTTTTTTTTCTTCGTATTTTAGATAAGATATTTTGCAGTTTGAATTGAATTAGAAATAATAATAATGAGTGATGATGGAAATCAAGAGCGTGAGACAAAAGAAGGGAAAACTAAGACCAAAAGCACTGCGGTAAAAAAAACAAAACAGGAAAAATATTTGATATTCTGAAAATTTTTTGTTTTGTTTTGATTATATATAGGGTGGAACACTTTCATCAATATTTATGGTAAGTTTTATAAATTATTTATTATTACTAACAAAAAAAAAAAATAACATTTTCTTAAGAATAATTTCTATTAGATTTGACAGTTTTTTTTTACTTTTATAAAATGTTTCTTGCATCTATTCATATTTTTTACATCAAATTTACATTAAATACGACATTTGTTCTTTTCAATATACGAATCTTTTTCTATTATGATCTCATAACTATAATATAGATCAGCTATAAACGATAACACATCGAAATTCTAAACTTACATTACAGTATATAAATATTATTCTGTGCTTATTGTAAATTAATAATATTTCATTCATAAGCAGTCTCTTGTATTGTACTAAATAATAATGATATGAAATATATGTAGTGATCGAATGTGTTTGTTCATTATCATTATCAATAAATGGATAATTGAATAATATAATTTGAACAAAAAAAAAAAAACTGTTCAAGTGAATGATTTACAACTTAACTTAATGAGACTATGTTCTATGAGGTTTTCTTTAAGTTATGATTTATTCATGTTTGTTTAAAGCAATAGCAGAAACCTTAAAAATGAGGATATTCTTATTCATTTATTGATACAATAAGGTGCTCGTACTTCGAACGTTATGCAAATTAATTTTTTTCACTTGTTTTTTCATGACTGAATAGAGCACATCTATTTATCAAGGAAAAATGTCACCTTTTCATACATCAGTGAATAAAATATATTTTTTCGTTCTGTACAATTCAATAAATATTTTTGCTGCGTCAACAGAAAAATTGCATACGAAAAGAGTAAATTTAAGATTACTTCATGTATTCAATTTTATGTTGAGAATTGAAATATCAATGTTTACATAGTTGCAAAGAACAAGACACCATAAAATATTCACGAATGCTTGCAAAATGGACACTTTTATATAATGAAATCGACAATTTGAAATTCTTTTGATGGAAATTCAATAAATACTTTGCTAAGTAACTGAATTTGCTTTATTTAACCATGTACAAAAAAAAAGAAGAGAAAAAATACTTATGTAAAAGTTTTGAATTTAAAAATTCGCTTAAATACAAGCATATGTTTTTCTTTTATAGAAAGTTGCTTACATATTTTTTTTTCAGTTTATTATTCTATTCATTTCAAACGATATTATTCTTCCTATAGAAATAAAACGAAATTAAATTTTAGAAATCAATGAGAAAATCAGCTGGAAAATCACGTGCTCCACTTCCATTTGGAATGAATTCTGGCAATAATGTTTCAAATTCAAATAAAGGAAGTCATTTGAATGTTCCTAATGAAAGTGCATCTACATTTTTTGGTGCATCTGATTCAACTATAGTTTCATCATCTACAACATCAAATGATTTTGATGTTAGTACATTAAATGATGATGAAGTACGAGAACGTTTTAAATCTGTTATGGTTAGTAATTAGTTTCTTCTCTTTTTTTTTTTATTTGTTAATAATATTTATTTTTTGAATATTTCAGGATGATTTATTCGAAGGAAATGAAACAAAAAAGAAAATGTTTGAACAAACAACAACAGCACATATGAGAGAAATGCTTATTTCACATTATAAACTTGCTACTGTAAGTTGCAATATTAGAAACAAAAAGATCATTATCATAATAATTTTATCTAGAATGAAATGAGTGGTCCTAAATCACCTGAATATCAAATTCAATGTTTAAACAATGTTACTATTGATAATATTAATTCAAAAAATAGTAAAGAAACATTTGAACGTGTTGCATTTTCATTAAAAAAATATGGTTTAAAATGGAGTAAAGTATTCAGTGAAAATTATAATGGTCCAAATGCTATGCTTAAAGCAATACGAGCATGTATCAGTAAAATTCAATATACACGAGAGTATGTTTTAATTGATTTTGATATTTAAAAAAAAAAAAACAAGAAATCTGTTTTTTTTTTCTGTAAATAGAAAAGTCAACCGTGATGGTGATGAACGTCGTGACAAACAAAGTACATTATATGAAATACTTGCTGCTGGTATTGAAGCATTTAAAAATTATCTTAATCTTGGTTGGAATTTTAATTCAATGAAAGAATCACTTGCAAAAGATATAGCTGAAATTGCAATTGATGCATTAAATATTTTATATTCGGAAAATGATGAACGTTCAAGTAAAACTAAACTTACATGTGCCATTCTTTTATTTGCACTGGCTATGCCAAATGAAAACAAGTAAGATTTACAAAATCAATTCTTTATTTAGTTGAAGTATATAGGATAATATAGAGTAGATATTTTTGTAATCTCTTGAAGATGTTGTGTTATTTGCAAGTTAATAATTGATGATGTTCTAAAGATTAGTTTTTCTGATAGATATCTATGGATTTCTTGATCAAATCGATTAGAGAGAAGAGAAAAAAAAACAAATTTTCTATTGTTGTTATACTGATGTGTAAACATAGATCAAAATTATACATGAAAATTTATCGCAAAAATTTTTCCATAGAGTGTCATGCGTCTTCGTTGTTAACTGATTTCTAAGTCTAATACAAAAAGAAAAAACACAGAAGTATTCAAAAGGTTGAAAAGAATATTATTGCATCTCTTCCTGTTGGGACATAGAATCATTTATACCTGTCAATTTTCAAAGAATTAAACGTATTGATTCTCACCATAGATGTTGATTAGATGTGTGCAGGTAGAGGGAAGATAAAAAAGTTAGGGGAAAGTGCCTCAACTAATTAACTACTGTGGAATCTGGACTATATGCATCATGTAGATTCTCATGAGTTATGGATACTCTGAAAACAGTTCTGGCCATTAGCTTACTACTGTTGAAATGCTACATTTTTATAGTATTTTGCAAGTCAATGTCGTGATCCTCTTCAGTAAAACAAGGAAAACTAATTGTTAAGTTTCGACTTGAAATTTTCTATTGAGACAGATCTGAACGACGATAGTTTATTGTAAAAGTTAAAAGCATTTTGCTTCGTTCGATCCTGAAATAAGAGTATGAAATCTACTGATGCATATGAGTCATGTAAAAGCCAAGTTTTTATCATTGCTGTATCTCAGAAAATGAACAATGAAATGATCTGAAATTTTTCCAATAAGCTATTCGCATTAATTTTTGTCTCTAAAGAACTCTTTTAGAATATTGTTAACCCATTAGGGTTTGCATGATGTGCATAATCTCGACTTAAAAGCAATTAATTAGTTGAGTAACTTCCCTCGTAAGCCAAGGTATAGTATACGGAAAAAGTTTATCTACACAACTTTAATGTTAATTTGAAGTCAATTCTATGATTGAAAATATCAAATAATTTGTCTATGATTTTTAATATTAAAATAAATAAAAAAATGTGTAAAATATTAAAGAAGGAAAAATTTTCAAATTTCCTTCATTAAAAATCAATTCTATTGATATTTAATTTTATTTTAGTCCTTCCAATGGTCAAAATATAGTTCAGCTTCTTTCAAAATCTGTTCAAAAATGGTGTCCCAGTCGTGAACGTTTTGAATGTTTAATTCATGAACTTGATGGAACAATAGAAGTCGCTGTATGCAAATTAAAATTCATTAACTAAACTTCTAAATCTCATATTGTTTTTTTTTTCATCTATTTCAGAGTAGTTTTTTAATGTGTATTAATGCCATATTTGTTACATTATCAACAGAACATCGATATCATTTACGTAGTGAACTATTTCGTTCTGGTTTTAAATCACGTTTTGAAGTAAAAACAAGATTTTTTAAAAAAATACTATTTCTCTTTACAATTTCATTTTCATTAGGAATTACAAAAACGCGTTAATGAATGTGAAGATCCAAAACAAAAAGATAATTTATTGACGCAAATTAATTTATTTCTTCGCCATGTTGATGATGATTATCAATCGATGAATATTAAACTTGAGTCAATATCTAGTACATGGGCGTAAGAATATGAAAATTCTTCTTTTGTTTAAATGAAGAGAAAATTTCTTTTTTTGTTTATAGTGATCTTCAAGCTTGTTTTGATTATTTATATGGTTTAGTAAAAAATACATCATCAGAACCTTTACTTTCAAGTATTATTAACCGACTTATTTGTATTCGAGATGATCCAACTATTCGGTTAGTTCATAGAAACTTGCTTTTTTTTTCTAGTTTGAAATATTAAATAATTTTTATTTTATAAAGTTTTTCTTATCTTCGTTTAATTGATGAATGTATAACACGTATTGTTTTTTCAAAATCAGCATGTGATCCTGATTTTGATACGTATTCAATGGATAGTGAATCAATTGGAGACTCTGGTTTAGGTTTAAATGATCATATGTCATCAATACGTAATGGTTCATCACATGATTTGTCACAGATGGCTGGAAATGCAGTCAATAATTTAACAGTGACGGAAAATGAAATACAAATAAATTTAATGAAAGAACGTGTTGAACATCTGGAAAAAACAAGAGGAAAATTAACAAAAGCACTTGAAAATATGTTAAGCAAAGTATTAAAAAAAGAATTCTTCCGATTAATACAACAAAAAAAAACGACTGACTGCAATATGTTTTGTTTATTGGAATAGGTTGATACAGAAACAGCAATGAGTTTTAAAAATCAATACGCTGATATTTTTGGAGAATCAATATCAACTATTGGATCTGCTAGTAACATTCCACCACCGCCTCCTCTTCCATCCTCAATGGGAAACATGCCACCGCCACCACCACCGATGCCACCATCATTACGAAATATTCCACCACCACCTCCATTGCCTGGTGATTTAATGCCGCCACCTCCACCACCAGGTAATATATTCGAAAATAACACAAAGAAAAAAGATTTGTTGTTAATAAAAGAATAATTCTCTGCAAATATGTATGTATCTACAGGAAATATACCTCCACCACCTCCTCCTATGCCAGGTCAGATTAAATTCGTGTGGCTTATTTGCTTCTCTTGCTTTTGCTTATGTTGTTTTATTCTTCTGCTTTCTTGTCTTTTGAAAAGAAAAATCGAAATAAACCATTTTTCCAGGTCTTATACCACCAGCACCTCCAATGATGACAGAAGGTGGTGTACCACCGCCACCTGCTCCACCATTTCCAGAAATGACAGGCAGTGGAGGACCGCCACCACCACCTCCACCATTTCCTGGAATGACAGGTACTGGAGGTCCACCGCCTCCACCTCCACCATTTCCTGGAATGATCGGTAGTGGAGGTCCACCACCTCCACCTCCACCATTTCCTGGAATGATCGGTAGTGGAGGTCCACCACCCCCACCGATGATGAACATGAATACTCTTCCACTTGGTATATACAAAACTTGTTTCGAAATTATTTATGAATAGTTGTTCTTTTTATAAACTATTTTGAGGTCCACCACCAGTACCTGAATATTTACCAAAAAAACAAAAATATGTTGTCGGCGAAGCTGTAAAAAAAGTGGCTTGGAATAAAATAAATCCACAATCAATAAAAAAAGAATCAATTTGGGCCAATGTTGATGAAAAAAATTTTCAAAATAAAGCATTTTTTACAACAATTAAAGAAAATTTTGCTACGAAATCAGCTCCTAGTATGTATTCATAAATTGAAATAATCAATTATTTAGATAAAATATCTTTCTTATTTATCAGTTAAAAATCTTGCGGATAGTGACAATGAATCATCATCATCAACCATGACAACGAAAAAAACAAAAGAATTTCGTGTACTTGATCCTCGTGCTGGTCAAAATTTTGGTGTGATAATCTTTATTTTTATTTTTATCATGGGATTTTTATTGGTTTGTCTTCTGGTTTTTTTAGCTATTATGTTTAGTCAATTAAAATCAACTCCACAACAATTTCGTCAATGGCTTCTTGCTTGTGATAGTGAACATTTAACAAGTGATTTGCTTGCTCAACTAGATAAATCAATTCCTACACCAGAAGAATTAAAAAAACTTTCAGAATTAAAAAATGAAATACATGATTTACCTGATGCTGAACAATATTTCTGTGCTGTAAGTTCAAATTTTTTAGTTTAAAAAAAGAATAAATTTATTTTATATAAATAGGTTAGTGATATAAAACGTTTACAACAGCGTATTAAAATACTTCTATTTAAAAGTCAATACAAGGAATCACTTGAAGAAACAGAAAAAGTAAACATTGTCGAATAATACTGATGATAACAGGAAAATCTCAAGCAGTTGTCGAAAATGAAAATATCGAATGGATAGATATAGAAGAGAAATGTATTATTATTGTTCATTTAGATTTTTTGAAGTTCTTCAAATGATTTGATTTTTCATAAAAAAAAAGGATAAAATTTTAAAAGAACACTAACACCTTATGTAATTCCTCTCGAAATTCATCTATGATTTATTGTTTTGCTTCTGCTAGAAAATTTTATATTCTATAACATGTTGATTCCCACAGTATTCAGACAAAAAAGAAAATCTTGATTCTGTAAAATTTACTGTCTGAAATAGACATATACTTCGAACTATTACTTTTGAGTTGACTAACAATAGCTGATCTCAAAGCGATTCACGTCATTTTCACTAAGAGAAATCCTAAGAGAGTTTAGGCTGATGTGACTTACTTCGAAGCCTATGACCATGTCATTGATCTTTGGCACATAACTTTCTAAGTAAGTCCCATCAGCTCAAATTCTCTTAGGACTTTTCTTTGAATACAGTTCCCAATATATGAACGAAATATCATTGAAAACGGTCTGGATCGGTTGAGACCATTTCCTTATAAATATATGACCGATTTTTTCTCTTTACCTCAGTACTTTTATGATAAGAATAACCTTTATTATAATCATCATTGTCTATCTATCATATATCCTATAAATTCTTTGATATCTTTCATAGAATTTTGTTGCTGCACGACAAGCCTGTGAAACAGTTCGTCGCTCTAAACGTTTTCCAAAATTAATTGAACTTGTATTAACAATTGGTAATTATATGAATTCAAGTGGTAAAACATATGAACCAATATATGGTTTTGATATTAGTTTTCTTCCAAAAGTAAGAATTATCTTATATATATTATTTTTCTACTTTTTCAAAATAAATTTTCATTTCAATAGTTACATTCAACAAAAGCTAATGATGGTAAACGAACATTATTACATTTTATTTTACAAGAAATTGAAAAAGATCATGCAGATTTATTAAAATTTGGTGATGAATTTCAAGGTGTTGCTGAAGTAGCATCTAAAAGTATGAAAATTATTAATCATTTGTTTTTTTCTTTAAGAAGTAAAATAATGTTTATTTCTTTCTTTTTCATAGTTGATACTAATGAATTACAAAGAATATTAAATGAAATAAAATCACGTGTTACTAGTGCACAAACAGATTTAGATAATGCAAAAAATGCAACAACAGATTCGATATCAGGAGATCGTTTTGCTCAAACAATGGAAGTAATTTGAATATAAAACTTAAGAAAAAAGAGAACTATCTTTAATATTTTTGTTTTTCATTTATGTAGGGATTTGTTAAAATAGCACGAGATGATATTGAAAGACTTGATGTATTAAATACTAAAATGACAAGTGCATATCAAGATTTATGTGATTATTTAACAATTGATTCTAAAAAATGCCCATTAAATGATTTTTTTACTGATTTAAAAACATTCTGTACGGTATTTTTAACATGTTTACAAGAAAATCGTTTATGGCGTGAACAAGATGAAAAAGCTAAACGTGCACAAATGTCAAAACAACTTGTTGATGATATACGAAAGAAACATCGTGCAGAACCAAAAGCTGAACAAAAAACATTCTTTAAACCAAGTAAAATTTTTTTTTCATAATTTTATCTATCAAATAATTTTTTTTTTTCAAATAATCACTCATAGGTGATGAAGATACTGATGTTGTATCAAATCTCATGTCGGTTCTCAAAGATGCTAATATGACATCGCAACCAAAACGAGTTCGTCGACCACCAGGTAAACTAATTAGTTTTTGAAAAAAACTTGACATTTTCTTTTTTCGTTCCCTGTTGTTCACATATAATTATTTTCTGTTTTCTACTTGTACTACATAATCGTTCAGAAGTTGAAACATTTGCTGGAGTATTAAATGAATTGAATACTAATCGATTAAATCAACCATCATCTTCGGTTCGTGATGATGTTCGATCTAATCATAATCGTCCACCACCACCACCACCGCCACCATCACATTCATCTCATGGTGGTACTCAACAAGCACAGCATCAAATACCTCCACCTATACCAGCAAGAAATCCTCGGTCTCCTACGGTAGAATATATGCTAAAGTTTCGACAATGGCTTTCTTTTGTTTATTACGCTTTTTATGACATTTTTGTTGGTATTTTTTTTTTCATTGCCCGCTCACTTATGCTTTATGTTTAATATGTGACATGTGCCTATGGGGAAAAGATGCCTATGCTTTTGGTTATTAAGAATATATTTGAATATTGATTGTTTATATTGCTCATGCTGATTTATATTTTTTGTATTTGTTTATTCAGCATCGATAAGCCGCGACGTACCAGTCGTATGCTGACGTCGTTGGTAAGTGACATAGTGTGCGCATGCCCGCACTCTCTTTGTCTGACATATGTAAAAACTAACTGCTTTATAAGCTTAATTCTTTATTAATTTTAAAAAATCAAATAAAACTTCATTTGATCTATGTTTCTAGGCCGTTTGAAAGCGAATGATCTTCGAACAAAAATAACCGATCGTGAAAATGCTCGATATTCATCTGATGATAATATAACAACACCTCGTTTACTAGCTTCATCCATACTTAAAGATCGAAATTATATATAAACACTTCGATCTATTCTTCCTTATTTATTAAGCATTATTAATATATAATAATTATTCTAGAAATTTACTATCATGTAAATACTAATTGATTCTTCTTTTCTTTTGTTTGTTTATTTGCTTATTGACTTCAATATTTCAACTTCAATTTTCTTTTGTTTTTTTTTGTTATTCCATTCCACTTTCAAATCTGTAGATAGTTGAATGAATTGTTTATTTAATATTTTTTTTGTCTTCTTCTCAACAAATGATGTGATCATATATGTTTGAAATATTTCCTTTAATTTTTTTTTTCCATCTATTAATTATCTCATTGTATCAAATAATTGAGATGATGTGTCTTTCAGATGTTGAAATGAAACGAAAAAAACTATATCTTTTGTTGAGTTTTCTTTGGTTTATTATCGTTCGTTCTATAAGTGGTACATGTTCGTTTTCTTTTTTTTGCTACTAATGTATTTTTCTTTGGTTCGGATTAATCTTGTTATTATGAATACAACAAATATTTTACACATAAGAACGAAATAGTGATATACATGTATAGTATCGATGTAATACAAATAAGCAACGCTATGTAGAGTATTGTATGTGCTGAACAAGTGAAATAGTTAACGTGTTTTTTGCACTAATATGAAAATGCTCGAAATGTGAAAGCAGTCATTAGAAAAAAAAATCATTGAAAGGGTCGATTACTCCAGCTGAATTGCTCTGATGTTGACACTTCGTAGCAGAGGTCTAAACCGGCTTGCTTTTCGTAGAGCTGGCCTGCCCATGACAGGCTATGAACCTCTTCAGTTGGCCTGTACCTGTCTTTGATTTTTACCGGCTTGGCCTGCCTGCCTGTTTAGGCCTGTATACATTTTTTTGCATATTAATATTAGGATAATAATTGAGTGTAAGTAGAAAACTGTCTTTATAAGAACACAAGAAAGTTGCTGATATCAAAATAACATATTAAGCGAAACATCTATTGATTTAATGAGGTATGTAACTGTCGAGTAAAGATAAAAAGGAAGCATTCAATATCTAGAAAACTGTTTTTGAGTAAAGGCCTTTGTACTGAATTTGATGAACTAGTTGAAGAGGACTTATTATGTCCGACCGCATTACGACAATATAAATATGAATCAGGAACATAAGACTTCGTAAATGCTTCATGTAAAAGCTTAATAACAACCAAATAAAAAGTGCGATCAGTAACCTACCGAAACGGATAAATAAACTAAATAAATAAATGGATAATGAACAATGTAATGATAATTTATTAATAGTTCTGATTGTGCTGAATCAAACTGATACAAAGATCATCTCTTATCTTCCAGAGCAAAGATTCTTCATATTTTATTTTGATATCTGCACTTTCTACTCAAAAAATGAAGTTTTTTTACTGAAAATTTAGAAAAAACACGATAGGCAGGCGGCCTGCCTATTTTGAGCAGCCTGTCTAACCTGTGACAGACTCGAAAATCAGAGCCTGTACCTGTCACAAGCAGACAGGCGCAGGCAGGCCCAATAGCCAGTTTGAACCTCTGGTTCTTACTAATATTGTGAAGTTTCTGCGGACTCTTCTAATTGGTCGAAAAAAAAGGAACATTTTCTCCAAAAACGTTCGGATCACTCGTTATCTATACTTGAATTACTTCTACATTTAGAACTAAAAAAAAGTAATTCAACTGTACATAGGAATAATTCAATCAATTGATGAGAAAGAAGAATGATAGTTGAATACATGAAAAACGATTATTTTATATGTGATTGGAAAAGATAATCTTTTTTTGGAAGGGACATTCGCAGTTGATGACTTTGTTTATTCATATGCAGACGAATATGTATTAATTAATCATTTAAGATGAGAGAAGAAAGTTAAATAAACTAAGAAATGCAAGACAAAAACATTAACGAAGTAGGATCAGTGATATGAAACGAATAATGTACGGAGGAAGTGTGTAAATATGATGATTCTGAATGATTTCACTTTGGTTGACATGTATCATTCGTTTGAGTAGTATTTGTTTGGGAAATAAGTTCCAATTCAAAAATTGATGTACCAAACCATTCAATAATGACTGTCGTCAAGAAAAATGCAATAGAATAAGAATATTGATTTGTTTGTTTTTCTATGACCGAAATTTTAAAACTTCAAAAATTCTATATCGTTTTCTTTTTTTGTGTTTTAAATTTTTTGTGAACAGAAGTAAAACTAAATAGTTTTTTTTTCCTTAATAATTATTACATTTTATTTTTCATTATGTTGGTAATACCTTGGGACCAATTTAAAAATGCCTTTTACTTTTTACAAGAACTATAACGCTCTTTATGAACAAAACTTTCAAATGCTTATCTAATAGAATTGAGTAAAAACAATTACAGAAAAAAAAAACAAATATCAACTATGTCTATTGCAACTAGTTCGTAAGTCATCAACATTACCACTATGTCAAACTTTAGAGCATGTATGCAGATCAACCATACCATGAAGTGAAAGTTTATGAGTAGCATCCATTTATAAATAACTTGGCCAATTTCTAGTTTCATGTTTGAAAAAAGAATCATGTTTTTGAAAACATTTCTAATCGTTTCTTCAAGTACATGTCGTTTTAAACCAGTTCTAAATAATGGTTAATAAGAAATTCTCAAATATATTTTTCAGATGCTAGTTATAATTCCTGCATTTCTCAAATCAAGTATTCAGGAATAATATTAAGTATTGATATTTCTTGACGAAGTTGTTATCGTCAATAATAGTTCAGTCGCACTCATCACTATTTTACGCACTCACTATATTCATTCAATAGTTCTTTGATTTAAGGAACTGTATTCGGGACCAAGTTTTAATCTTTGCGGGATCGGGGCCGGGACTTAAAATTTGCTAATACTGTTTCCATGACGTTTTCTGTTCCAGAACTAGACTATATATTTTCATATTTATTATTCTGTTCTGATTAATGATCTACAAATAGGCCCGTTTTATTTATAATAGAGATAAAATTATGAATCTGCAAAATCACATTTTTCGAATCCTGAACGGGAATTATCTTGGGAGTCACACCTAAAAAATAATACTTATAGTTCTGCAGAGCCTAAATTCTGATATTATCAAAGAGACTCTTGAATGAACATCGATTGAGGCTCACTCATTTCAATTTTGTATCTATGCAAGAACTGTGAGCTCTGAGAGAACTTTCGAAGCCACGTTGGCAGGACCAAGGAAAATTTTGAGACAGACACAAAAAAAAGTGGTGTTATATTTCTTTAGTTTTAACGCATGCGTATAAAGGTATTGTCCTACTGTTAATTGCTCAGAACCATCAATATTCATTTTATATGTATTCAAAGAATCACAAAGATTATTAGAAAAGTCGTTTTTTTCTAGAAACAAAATCAGAACCAGAAATAATAAAAAGTTTAAAGTGAAACCGGGATCAGAGACCGGGACCGAAACCGGGACCACAAAAAAAAAATGTTTAACCGGTACCGAACACGGCACCAGGACCAAAAAAGATGGTCCCGCCAATGTCTACTTTGAATACAGAAAAAATTCATATCTTCAAATTCTTTCTTATCGCTAATATTATTTTTCGTTTTTCTCTTTTGAAAATCTAGACCTTCCAAGATATTTTGAATCTTTATCTTTCGATTCGTCTTGTTGTCATATTAATTTCCCATTAGTCCATCATCCGTCTGGTGCAAGAATTATCTGCAAATAAAATCAATGAATAACATGAATACAAAAAAAGCCAGAATAATCTTTTGTACAAATGCAGAACATTACAATAAATAATCATTCGCCCATAATCAACAAAAAAGGATGAAACATATATTTTTATTATACTTCGTCAATATGATACAAGCATTTATCTTCTTTTCAATAAACTCCTGTAACATTTATCTAATTATTCATAATTATATATTGTTAATTTGCTGATAGATTTTCAATTAAATACTGGTATAACAATTTTCGTATATCGTTATTCATATATTAATATAGTCAATTTTCATCAATTATTTTCCAGTATCTATTGATGGCTCATCACTATCTAAATAACAAATATCTGACTAAGAAATAAAATT